TCATAAACATACAACACAATGAATTTTCATACAGCGAATATATTCATGTAACCAAAACAAAGATCTAGAAACAGAACATTATGAGATTAGTTTTTTCCTACTTTTGCACTTTACATAAATGGATCATACAAATTGTCTTCTCTTTTGTGTCTGGCTTCTATTATGCTTGGGAAGTTTATTCATATTCTAGATAGTTGTAGTTTGTTCATTCTTGTTGTCATGTAGCATTACCTTGTGTAAGACGTTATGCAATTTATTCGTTCCGCTGCTGATGGGGTATTTGAGTTGTTTCCAGTTTTCTGCCATTATGAATATTGCTGATATAAACATTCTTGTTCATATCTTTTGGTGAACATATGCTTTTCTGTAACATATAAGATATTAGATACACATGTGTAGAGGAGTATGTATACACATACACACACATACATCGGGTGGACTGCAGTAGGTTTTTAAATTCCCATTTTTAGATGAGAAAACTGAGGCTTGAAGAAGTTGAGCCAGGAAGTAGTGGAGCTGGGCTGCAAATCCCATCCTGTCTGGCATTGGAGCTCAAGCTCTCTATCCGTCACGTTTTCCTGCCTCCTGGCACACAGGCCATTTAGAGGTACTCATGATGTGCCAGACTGGTTGCTGCCACTGAGGGAAATAAAAAAAGAGAGGAATGCACAGTCACTCTAGAAGGAAAACGATGGATATTGGTAAGGCACATGGGCGTGACAAGAAGTCTAAGGAAAAGGGGGTCATTTGTATCTTGAAAGATCACAGGAGGCTTCCTAAAGGAAAAAGCATCTAAAGAGAAAAGATGGGGGAAGCTTCTGGGCGTGCCAGGGTGAAGGGAAGGAGTGCCAGGCTGAGAGAGTCTGAGGGCACAGGAAGAGTAAGTCCTCATATAATCGTAGCCATAAGGGCCCTCAGAGATCACCTTGTCCAGTCACCATTGTCCACTCACCCATTTTTGCATTGCTGGATTCCAAATTTATATAGCCAGTCTTGACCATCCCTCTGATCTCCAAACTCTTTTCTTTTTAGTTGGGTGACAAATCTGCATTTCAAATTTAACATTGCCAAGACAGGGCTCCCAACCCTGTCCACTCACACTCACTCCAAACTGCTCCTCTTCCAATCTTTCTTGCTCTTAGGAACTACCAGCCACTAATTACTCAGGCTCCAGACCACAGCATCATCCTTCCTTCCTTCCTTTCCCATACCCAACCCATGAGCACTCCCCCTCAGCTGTAGCTACAAAGCACATCCTGAATCTGGTCTCTCCTTACCACCTCCCCGCGACCCCTCTGGTCACGACTGTCACCATCGCTCACCTGGACAACTGCAACAACATCCTCCCTGCCTTCCTGTTTCCGTGTTCTTCCCGAAGGCCACAAGGAGAAGCCTACTTTGCCTCTTTCAGCTTCTGGTGGCTCCAGGTGTTCATTGGCTTGGGACTTCCTAACTCCAATCTCTACTCTGTCTTCACATGGCCTTCTTCCCTGCATCTCCTCTCCCTATTATTGGTGACTTCCTCTTATTTTTTTAGGGCCAACCTGGATGATCCACGATGATCTCATCTTAAGACCCTTCACTTAATTACATCTGCAAAGATCTTTTTTCCAGATAAGGTCACATGCATAGCTCCTGGGTGGACATACCTTTTAGGGAGCCAAAAGGTACTGTACAACCCAGTGCAGAGGTGAAACTCAAAAGAAAAAAAAAAAGCTGAAAGAGTGTAAACTGAGTTTAAACTTTAGTCCTCCAGTGAGCGATCCCTTTTCAAAGCATAGAAGACTCCTGCCCTGCACATGCTTGCTATTTCAGCACTGACTGTCCACGCATCACTCCAAAGGTCATTGTGAGGAGGGAGTGTCTGCATTGTGCTCGCTGCAAGGCTAATTCGGGGCTATGAGTCTAACCAGGGGCATTGCTGCAACCCCAAACCCACCAGATCCTCTCTGCTCCTTACTGGGGGGGGGGGGGGTATTGCCACTACGATTAAGGGGCCAAAATAGTTTCTTTCTAGAAAATGACCTTTCCAAAGAGAGTCACCTGCTATGCAGATAGTGAAAGGAAAAAGAAGGGTGCCTGGGTGGTTCAGTTGGTTAAGTATCTGACTTGGCATCAGGTCATGATGTCGTGGTTCAAGAGTTTGAGCCCCGCGTCAGGCTCTGTGCTGACAGCTGTGAGCCTGGAGCCTGCAGCCTGCTTCATATTCTATGTTTCCCTCTCTGCCCCTCCCCTGCTCTCTCTCTCTCTTTCCCTCCCTCTCTCTCAAAAATAAATTTAAAAATTAAAAAAAAAAAGAAAGGAAAAAGAAGGGGTCCAAGGATGGTAGGCAGCCTCTAAGATGAATGTTCCCTCAATGGTCTCCCCTCCTGGTTTTTATGTCTACATGTCGTCCCCTCCCCCTCAAGTATGGCCTGGATCTAGTGACTTCCCTCTACTAAATGCAATACAGTAAGAATGTCAGGATGTTATTTCCGAAATTAGGTCACAAAAGACTGTGGCTTCTGTACTGCTCACCTTTCCTCACTCCCTAGCTTCCTTGCTTCTAGGGAAGCCAGCTTCCATATCAAGCTGCCCTGTGGGAGGCCCATGTGGCAAGGAACTGATATCTCTAGCCAACAGCCTACAAGAACCTGAGGTCCAGCAGCCCTCAGAGAACTAAAGCCCGCCAACAACCTTGTGAGCAAGCTTGGAAGTGGACTTTCCCAGGCCGGCAGACAAGCCACAGGAATGAGCTTCGAACCTGATCTCCTCCACCCCCAGCTGAACCTTCCCATGTTGCAGCCTCAGCTAACGCTTTGATTGGGGCCTGTGGGAGACCCTGAGCCCCAGGCCCCCAGCTACGCTGTGCCCACAGAATCTGTGAGATGATAAACACTCATCGCTGATGATAAACACTCATCGTGAAGCCGCTAAGTTTTGGAGCCATTTGTCGTACAGCGATAGATACACCCAGATATAAATTTCTAGGCTCTACTCAACCACGTGGAAGGCTCAAGCTATAACTGTAGCTATGTTGACAAATTCGAGGATTCACAGATATTAGCTCATATCCCTTCTGGGGAGAATCTACAACATCTCCTCCCACTCCTTTTTATATTTTTAAAGAAACAGAATATCAAACTATAGTGACAGTTACACATTCTTTTTTTTTTTCCCCCAGCTTAATGTGTTAGGAGCATTTTCTCATCTCATTAACTGTACTTCGAAGCATTATTTATGCCTCGCGCCTCTCCAGCAGCCCATTTGATGAGTGCACCAACATTAATTTAGTCACTTCCCTCTCTCATGTTTTGAGCTCAAGGTGGGGTTTTAAGTCTTGGGTTCACGTCTATCGGCACATGCTGGCCCCTTCAAGCAGGGCTTGTGGGGAGAGGGGGTAGGGGGTATGGGGTAGGGAGAAGGCAGGATCACCTATGTTTAAGTGTTTCTCATGCTGCATCAAGCCTACAACACTTCCTGGCTATGTGTCCTTTGCTTGTTACTTAACACCCCCAGGCCTCAGTTTCCCTTTCTGAACAGTGGGAATAACAACCGTACCTACCTCACAGAGTTATTAGAGGCACAACCCGGGGGTTAACCCAGGTGAAACACAGCACAGTACCTGACAAATTTTAGGTCATACGGACACAAGCCAGACCACAGTGTCCTCACACACAGGGCCTGCCCCTCGTTAAGTCTCAGTCCATGGTGCATGATATCAACTCTTGTCCCAGACTCCCGCTGACCTCCAGTGAAAAGTATCTTGGCTTTCCTCCCACCAGTCTGCTCTCCGTGAACCTGTGGTTCAGACCCCCACCCCGGCACCACCCACAATCCTGAAACCATCACCCTTGGTCTAGCTGCGTGGCCCCGGACAAGTACATCCCATCTCTGGGCCTCAGCTTCCTCTTCCGCAATATGGGGAGGGGGTCAGATTGGGAGGCCCATGAGGGATTGCCCACCTCTAAGCCCCTAGACTATTCCCTCCTCTTTCAAAGGCCCTTCAGTTCCAATCATGTAGAGTACAATCAGAGCTTAAAAAAACTAGCCAAAGCAAAAAGAATTGGAAAACACTTTAATGTATTTACCACAACACGTACGCCAAGACGTGCTCAGCATCTTGGAGCGTGTCAAATACTTGCATAGTGTCTGTATGAAAATCCAGGTGGAGGATTGGGGTTTCTCGGCTCAGGCCCCTTACGGAGCTTGGGCTGAGTCTGAGTGAGGACCCCCACCCCCAATCCCAGCCGATACTACAGCTGAGCTCCTGCCTGGGAAAGTCAGGGAGCTGTTTGGGAAAAGCCTGGAGAGCTGACCCTGGAGACTCTCCTAGAGGTCTTGGCATGTCTATAGGTGCCCCTCCGGCAGACATCCCCGGGGAGACTGTTCTAGGCTTCTCCCCAACTCCAACTCACAGGTGCGGTTCCTTGGCACTGAAAGCACGGCTAGGGAAGAAAGAGTCCACTTCCGGGCTCCTGCTTGGCTGGCCTCTCCCCATCTAGGCCTGGACTCTGGACCAGCCCCAGTAGGGCGAGGTTTCAAGGACCGCAGGGATCTGTGGCCCTGGGAGGCACAGACCAGAAGAAAGGTCTCCTCCTTGCTCCCGGCACTTCAACCTCTTCACGCCAGCCCCCGCTTTCTAGGACGTCAGTTCCTAGGGTGCCCGGGCCAGGATCCCACCAAGAAAAGGAGGAGCAGATGGTGGGGTTTCAGATCCCAAAAAAGGCCACGTGACCTTGGGCACATCACACGGCTTCTCTGGCCTCTATCTCCTGATCTAAAAAAGGGGAGCGACGATCCGGATTTTGCGCAATGACCACAGACTCGACATAAGATAATAGCAGTGACAGGGCCCGGCAGAGTGGTGGGCAGCAGGAATGACTCTCTTTTCTTGGTGAAATGCTGGGCCAGCGGGTCAGCCAAGAAAGGCAACCTCCAGGGGTGATGGAGGAGGTCCCTGTGTGCTATGGCTGCTCCTTCAGCCCCAGGAAGGGGCTGGCTCAGCTCCAGGGGGTGGTTTAGAAGTGAACTTGAGCAGAGGAGAGCAGGGGGAAGGCCAGGAGTGGGTGGGGACTGGGATCCACACCCAGCCCTTGCCGGTCTGCTGCTGCTGCCGACACAGGCTTGTGCTCCCTACCCTGCAGGCCGGCCAGCCCCAGAGCAGGTGTGGCGCTGTCAGGTGGGGACCCCAGCTTCCCCCTGGTGGGGTGCTCCACCCCAAGGGGCTGTAGAGGGGCAGGTTGGGCTGGGGGGTTGGGCAGGAGGGCGTCGAGCCTGGAGGAAGGCCTTAGCAGGCTGGAGCCAGTGGGCGAGGCTGACTGGACAGGGCTGGGGGACAGCTGGGGAGGGGGTGCAGGGGCCGCGGTGGAGCCAAGGGACAGAGAAGGCAGAGGGGACAGGAGGAGGCCAGGGGAACTATGAGGCCGCAGATGTGAAGAGAGCTGGTGGGCCGAGGGAGAAGAGACGGGGGTCTGGAACAGGCCCGGCTGTTCCTGGAAGCCATATTGTCCACAGGGCATGGGGTCCGGGGGCTGCTCAGTCTGGCCCCAGCAGCCAGGGGGCACCGGAGCCAAGCGGTTGGCACAGTCCATCAGGCACAGCCGCTCGTGCGCATGCAGGGTCCGGCTCCACCACCCCAGCTCAGCTTGCAGAGTCTGGATCTCCTTCCGCAGCAAGCGGTTGTGTTTCTCCAGCGTCTCGTGCTGCTGGGGGCAGAAGCAGAAGGGTGGGGAAGGGGGTGTCAGCCGGCATTAGGGTCCCAGCACGAGCCCCGTACCCTGCCCCCAGGCTCCTTAACTTAGGAGGGAAGATACTACTACCATCTGAATGTCTAAGCTAAGGGCCCCTTGGCTCCTCCTCTCTGGCCAGCTCTTCGCCACCGCCCGCCACGTCTTGCCCCTTCTACTCCTACGGGGGTAGATTGGGCTGCTCTCCATCCCCCCACCAGTTCCCCGAGCCAGCCGTGCTCCACCAGCCTGTCACCTCCACTCACCTGGGAGCTCTACCGACCGGGGCGCCCCTCAAACCACTCTGTTCTCTCGGCCCAGAGGAGCCATCCGGCAATTGCATCATCAACCGGAAGTTAAAGGCTCCCACACCTCCCCGTGCACGGCGGGCCTGGCTCACACCTCCCGCTCCCCTTCACTTCCTGTCCCTCCAACGGACTCTGCTTTCTGCCACACTTCCTGTCTCCTCTCCCTGGCACCCTTCCAGCAACCTCCTCTCCCGGGCCGATCCCGATGTGGCCTTCTCATGACAACCGAGAGGTCATTCTGTCGTACGCACCTCTGGGCTGCTTCGTGTCACTGCCAGACCTCCCCAGGGCCCAGGACTCACCCACTGAGGCACTGTGGGAGGAGCCCAGGGTAGTGGTTCACAGGGCGACTATGTTCTATCCAGCACCCCTGAGTCAGCGTCTGTTAGGGTCTGTTCTGCTGGACGCTGGGTCCTGAGACCCCCCTTGATGGCACGCAGTTCTAAACAACCATTCACAGCGACAGCAACAAAAGAACTTTCTTTCCACGGCTCCCAAGGCTGAGTGACTTCCTCTGGTCCCCTCCCCAACCTCATCTCTTTCGTGGACAATTCTTAAAAGAGGAGGCAAGGATGTTTTACATAAAAATGTCGCTTCGGGCATGAACTCAAAATTCTAACGGAATCAAAGGCCCTGCTTCCAGGCTGGTCTCTGCCCATGGAATAACGTTTTGAAAACATGTGATCAGATCACCTCTCGCTTAAATTCTCCAGAGGCTTATGGGGCGCCTGGGCGGCTCCGTCGGCTGAGCGTCCGACCTCGGCTCAGGTCACGATCTCACAGCTCGTGAGTTCGAGCCCCGCGTCGGGCTCTGTGCTGACAGCTCGGAGCCCGGAACCTGCTTCCAATTCTGTGTCTCCCTCTCTCTCTGCCCCTCCCCCACTCGTGCCACATCTCTGTCTCCCAAAAACAAATATTAAA